TTTTTTTCAAAATTCTAGTGAAAGTTCGGCGCGTCAAGCGTGCACGTCACGCGCCCGCATTCCTTGCCTCTATACTACATAACCGCCCTAGTTTGTTTCTTAACCCTTAAGCAGTCAACACCTTTCCTTCTCACCTTCCTCTACCCTATATATATACTCATCTCCTCTCAAAATCTCAATACCATCTACATTTGCATTACAATTTCCCCTTTTTGATCCCCAATCCAGCAAAATCTTTCGATTTTTTCTTGTTCATCGCAATCGATCATGGCTGAAGCAGATTCCAACCCTCAGCAGCCCCTGCTGGTAAGAAATCGACGCGAATTCTCTGCAATTTGTTTCGAATCTGAAAATATGTGATATGTGTTTTGTTTTATATATTTTTTTAAATTGATTTTGTGTCTATGCAGGTGAAAGGCAGCGATGAGGAGCAGAGGCTCAAGTACCTGGACTTCGTGCAGGCCGCGGCTCTCCACGCGGTGATGTTCGCCGCGAGGCTGTACGGTTACGCCAAGGAGAGATCGGGCCCGCTCAAGCCCGGTGTTGACACTGTTGAGGGCACCGTGAGAGCCGTCGTTGGCCCGGTTTACGACAAGTATCACGGCGTCCCTGTCGACGTTCTGAAATTCGTTGATCGCAAGGTATAATGTTCTCCTTGTCCTTGAACCTTTTGTGTTGGGTTTGGTTGTCGTCGATTTTGGTCCTGGTGTGTAGGTTTTTGCGTTTCTGATGCGGTTTTTTCCGATTTGTTTATTGAACGTGATGATTTGGTATTATTTCTTATGAATTCTGATCAACTCTGTTTGTATTTTGTTTGAATTGGGGACGCAGTTGATCCTTTATTTCGGGTGATGTCTTGCTTACGTGTGTATTTCTTTTGAATTGAGGATGCAGTTGATCGTTTTTTTTCTGATGATTTGTTGTAGCGTTCCGTTTTTCTCCATTCATTTATTTGTCAACAATGAATCTCTTTCGATAGATACAAAGAACTTAACCTTGTGGTTTTAACTAAGGAGAGGCTTAGATTCCATTGCCTCAATTGAGCATACAAAAATCGAGTAACTACAGCATTTTGTGATTCCTACTTTAGTAACTGAATGTGGAACTCATGAAATTCCACAAGGGCTTTTAACCAACTGAGCTCTACGCCCTTACCTTCGATTTTCTCTCTATCTCTTTAGATACAAAGAGATGAGGCTACTGATTTTAACTATGGATAAAACTTAGATTTCACTGTCTCAATTGCTGTTGTTGCTGCTTTGGGTACCCAAGAATCGAGTTTTACATGTTCTAAATTCCTGCTTTAGTAACTGAATGTGGAACTCATGAAATTCCAACTGGGCCTTTACCACCTGAGCAGTATGTTGTTACCTTTCGGTTCGATTTCTCTCCTCATCTCTTTAGACACGAAGAAATGAGGCTAGTGATATTAGCTAAGGACAGAACTTAGATTCCATTGCCTCAATTGCTATTGTTGTTGCGGATTGAGTATACAAGAATCTAGTATTACATGTTTTCCATTGCCTTTTGGTGGTTTGTTGTACTTCATGGAATTCAAATTCGAACTGGGCTTTAGCCAACAAGGATAAAGAATACGGTATATTGTGATATACAGGTTGATGAATCTGTGGTCAAAGTTCAAAGCCGTGTGCCCCCGACCCTGAAGGAGGTTTCGGCCCAAGCCCTTGGGGCTGCCCAGTCGGTTGTTGCCGAGGTAAAGAGCACTGGCGTGTTGGGGACTGCAAAAACCGTATATGCCAAGTGTGAGCCTGCTGCAAAGGACATGTACACAAAATACGAGCCAGTGGCTGAGCAGTACGCCACCTCAGCTTGGCACTCACTGAACCAGCTTCCGGGCTTCCCTAAGGTTGTCCGTGTTGTGGGTCCCACAGCCAGCTACTGCACGAACAGGTACAACGAGACCGTCCGGGAGGCTGCCGGAAAAGGCTACAGGCTTGCGTCTCATCTTCCTCTGGTTCCCACCGAGAGGATTGCCAAGGTGCTAAGCACATGAAGAAATCAAGCCCTGAGTTAGTAAACGAGACTTGCACGTGTTCTGGTTATCTTTATAGGATGGCGTTTATGTTGGTTCGGGTTTGTGTTTTGTGTTCGTGACAGTGTTTCTGTGTGTGTGAGTGTGTGTGTGTTTTGTTGGTTGATTGTTTTGAGGAAACTATTTAATCTGTTTGGTTTGATTTTATGGCCATCTCTTTTGAGTTTATGGTATTGTATACATGTGTTTACTTCGTTTTTATTTTTGTCCATGGTTAACATCATCGAATTTCTTGATTCTCCACCTTACATGGATTAAAGCTAGAGCTAGAGCTGTTAAATACTTAAATGGAATCAGTTGTTCCTGAGCTCGGTTAAAGCTCGGCTCGATAAGGCTCGTTAAGACTTGAATCGTTAAGGTTTGAGATCGACTTGTTAAGGCTCAAACTCGTCTCGTTAATATTGATAAACAAGCTAAGCTAAAACTCAAATTTTTGGCTAGTCTCAGTTTTGGACCTTGAGTTTGAACTCAGTTGGGCTCGGTTACAGTCAGTCAAAACTAATCGGCAACTGGACTGAGCCATTCCCTGAACTTGGATACAATGGTATCTTTTTTAAACAATGTCAGTGTGTCCTTACCGACTTCTGATTGTTAGTTCACAGATTCACCGAAACTTCCTCTGATGGCAGCATTTCGAAAATTCATGGGACTAGAAATTATCGTGTCCTAGGCAAGAAAGACAAGTTTTACAACTGGAGTTTCCAGTAAGAGGAGGCAAGCCGAGGTGGTGGAAAATGAGGTTGAAGTTAAAAGACCTTTACATTCAAGACAATGAGAAATAATCTGCAAGCAAGGATTTAAGGACAGATAACATAACCCAATCCTTGACATTATGCATTTAGCATCGCTAACGAAAAGGAAAAAGAAAAATAAACTGAAAGAGAGAAAAGTACATATTTGTGGCTAAAGGAAATGAAATACGGGTCCATAGAAGCAAAATCAAATTCAGACAAAATCGGGTCAAACTCATGTTTTGTAAGAGTAGCTAATCAAGAAGAGCTCTTCTCTATGGCAAGCAATCTTTTCATGTAAAGAAAATACTAGGCAAGGATGATATCAAACATGGTCTAACGATGGTTAGAGTAACCTAACCATTAGGCGATGAATATACCCTTTCTACATATGAGCCTACTTCCATTAAAGAATGTCACACTTGAAGAAAAAAATAATGTAAACACAAAGTATGACATTTAATAGTATAAGTATGCATTCAAGCTTATAGGACATGACGAGTCCACCGGTCTAATGAGCACATGCCAATATGAATGCTTATGGAGCTTAGACGATTTCCCGCAATGAACCAAATATAATAAAACATGGTGAAAAACGAAAGGTAGAAGAAAAAAATGGCTACTACCACTTGTTATGATTCAAGCATCGACTTTGCAACTTTCAAGTCAATCAGATGATAATAATAATAATAATAATAATAATAATAATAATAATAAAAAAAAAAAAAAAAAAAAAAAAAAAACAAAAACAAAAAAAACTCTTCTCTTTTGGATCCTCGGAGAATTGACAATGTCATGAATTGTAAAACATAGTAGCATGAAGTTAGTTAGCAAATGACACCAGAAAAAAAAAAATAAAAAAAAATCAAACAAATAAATAGAATCCTACACTACTACAGACTTATTATCAGGGTTATAGAAATGAGTAATGCTCCCCTACCCACGGTGGACACATGTTAATATTTAATATGCCAACTATTTATGTGGCATGCACACATTGGTGATATATTTTTTTGAACATATTAACATCACCAATGTGTGCATGCCACATAAGCGGTGGACAATATCAAATATGCAACATAATATGGACAATATCATCATTATTATTTAGACAAAAATTCTATGGAACCATCGAATGGTTTTCTTATGGAGACATCCATCACTTAATATATTGACACCTGTAAAAATTATATTTATTGTAGGACACATGTCAATACACTATTGGTGAATAAGTGTGGGTGACTCCATAAGTCGAGCCATCTGATAACTCCATAGCAAAACTGATTATCAAAAATTCTATGGAGTAGTTTTCTTATGGACACATCCATCACTTAATATATTGATACATGTCCAAATTATATTTATTGCAGAACAAGTGTCAATACACTGTTGGTGAATAATAATATAAACAAAAAGTATGACATTTAATAGTATAAGTATGTATTTTAGCTTATAGCACATTGACGAGTCCACCCGTCTAATGAGCACGTGCCAATATTAGTGCTTATGGAGCTCAGACGACACGAGAAAAAAAGATTATACCAATAAATAGAATCCTAGTACAAACTGATTAGTTATTGAGAACTAGAAAGGAGCATAACATTAAGAGAACACTGTTATGCTGTCAAACACACTCAAATTCATTCAAATGAAAACTAATTGTATAAGAAATGATAACATTAGCATGAATTATTATAAGTAACTCATAACAAAAACAAGATATATATGAGATTCATACTTTCATATCCATCAAAAGCAATCTTCTGAAAAAAGATTAAACAAATCCTAAGAAGTGATTAATTATGATGAGGGAGTAAACCAAATAGGTGAGGGCATAATCCTTTTCAAGCTCCCGACATCGCACGGGTAATAGCAAGGCGAGATAGTCTTCTTCCCATAATCATAAATCCCAATATCGTGCCCCCCATACATTTTTTCCTCCTCATCAGTGTAATCGAATTTCTCGGGTTGAATACCTTGTCATCCGTGAAGTATATGGAATCGGGCTTCAGCCCACCATTTGTAGCCATCACCGCGCATGAGTGGTTAAGCCCAACAAACATTGCCAGCCCACTCAACGACCCATCGACATAGCTCAACTTCCCTCCTCCACCTTCTTCCCGGTCGATTTTATGCACTTCAAAAGCCAACGTTTTGTACGGGTATTCACCGTCTCGTTCTGAGTCATCCACGCACGAACCATCCGGGGCCATCTGTCCGACTAAATGACGGGTGACAATAAACAATTGCCGCAAATCCTCTGCATACACTAAGTATCTAAGTGCCCTTGTCCAAATCCCGGTCTTTAAACGTGAACTCTCCACATTACCCAACCAAGAAATGTAGTTTTCAGGGCCCAACAAGTCCTTGTGATTCGACCAAACCAGCTTAGGCGAGGTGGGGTCCGTGAGATCCCACGCCTCTAAGTCACCGCTGTCAATCTCCGTGAGGCCAAAGAATAGATTCTCCGAGGTTGAGTACAAACCATATCCTCGTATCCCCTCACGTCATTGTACGGAGGATAAGTGTGGGCGCCGATGCGGGTCCACCCTGCCCCGGCCCGGCCCTGGCAGCAGAAAGCGAGGATTTCACAAGTGCCGAAGATCATCAAGGCCCGGCAATCTTCGTGTTCTGGGTCTTCACCGGAGATTATCTTGTTGACCCACACACAGCCTTCGTCCACGTCATCATCGACGGAGATGGGGAACAGGAGACTCTCGTGGCGGCCATAGGGGGGGGACCGGCGGGAGACTAACGTGGCGGCCGGTTAGGGGGTTCGACAGGAACAGGTCGGAGTTGGTCGGGTTGAAAAGGGCCAGCCAGCCGTGTGAGGATCCCACGATTACGCTCGTCTCTAATTTCTCGTACGGTGATGATGTCCCGCCGCCGTCAAAGCTCAAGACTCTGTCGTGTCCCAGGCTGTATAAATTGTAATTAACCATTCTACCGCCGTCGCATCATCCACGGCGGCGATTTCACAACTCTGCTCGGTGCGGCGGCGGCGGCGCTCATAGCACGAACCCCACGGCCCAAATTGGGATTTGAAGGCCTCAATGACCAAGTTAACAATCGGAAAGCAGAAGATAACATTTTTTATTTTTTTTTAGGTACAAAAAGCAGAAGATAACATTGACAAAGTGACGCAGCAAACAAAAGCGATAGAAGTTAAAAAACTCAAAGATATCTGTATTTTGTTTCATAAAAGTTGATCTAGATAAGGGAAGGGAACAAATATAATCCATTATTTCCCTAATTATCTATCTTATGTAACAAGAAAAACTAGATAAGGATAAATAATCAGATACCATCTAAATAATGCAAATAAACGTACTAATAATAATAATAATAATAATAATAATAATAATTATTATTATTATGAGTTTTGTTGTGGTGTTGGCTCAACTAGCTCAATAGTTGAGCCAACTTCCTATAATTATAAAATACTATGTTTTATAATTAAATAAAAATATACAATCAACAACAATTGATAACAGATATAAGTTAAAAAATAATATTGAAAAAGTAAAAGTAATTATAACTTTAATTTGAATGAAAAAACAAATACTACAAAATATTTATAATATTATTTAAATTAGTACAAACTTTTTGTAGTATTTAATTTTTTAAAATTAAATTTAAACATATAAGTGCTTTTATTTTTATTGTTGAGTTGTTACTAATTGTATTTTCTTATTAAGTAGTTTTTAACTTGAAATAATATTTTTCTTATTAAGTAGTTGTCAAAAATATATTATTTTTTGAATAAAGCTACTTGTACAATTATTTTGTACAACATGATGTGTCATCATGTAGATAATTGAGATCCAAAAAAATGTGTGGCTAAGATTTGTTCAATGATTGTGATAACTAGTGTTGTCAACTAATGTTGTCAACACTGATTGTACATGTAGCATGACCCAAAACTACATTAAATCCGGGAGCCAATCATGTTTCTCCGAGAAGGCGAGTGCAATCTCGTCTCCATCATTCTCCCCTGGTTGAGAAAAATTCGCCCTTGATTCAGACTCAATCTCGTCTCCGTGGGAGTTGTCACAAAGACATGACACCTGATGCTTGACGTTGAACACGTCGGAAATGCGGATATGCGACAGCAGACGTAGGCGATAGGCATTCAAATTGATCTTCTCCACGTCTCGACTGGTTCTATCTTCCAGGCAGATGATTAGTTATACTCGTGGCCAAACGCTTATATATACGACAGCCGTCGCCTCCAATTTCGCCCCAGCCAACCGCAACATGGGTTCGCTGCGAATCGACCATAAAATCTGTGGCCCGACGATCAAGAGGCTCTGTCGATGACAATGTCAACAAATCCAAGGGGCCGTGCGGTTGCACCACATAGACCACCTGGAAAGGAGAAAAACGCGTGGCCCGACTCACAGTCGAATTATGTGCGAACTCGACTTGACTGAGTCGCTGATTCCAACTCCTCAAGTTCTCGCCCACCAGACAACGTACCATATTCCCAAGTGAATGATTAACGACATCTATCCAGACATGGCCAAAACTCGGGCTGGGTCACGACCCAGCCCGGCCCGCCGGGTCGCCGGGCTAAAAAACAATGACCCGGACCCGACACGGACCTATACTCGTGCCAGGTCAATGGCCCGGTTTACCGGGTCGGGTCGTGTCTGGACCGGGTCCGTCATTTTTTAAAAAACAATCAAAAAAAATAAAAAATAAAATAAAAAAGTGGGTCATCGACCCGGGAGTCATAAAATGGATGACCCTGACACGACCCTTCAAAAATCCGGTCCGGGCCCAGACATGTGGTCAACGAATTTGACCGTGTCGAGTCCGTGTCGGGTTCGGGTCAGGCGGCCCTTGTCCATGTCTACATATATCTGACCATTCGTCAGACCTAACCCTGGCCTATGGCGACCTGGCAAAAATTGTTTCTATTTTTTCTTTTTTTAGCCTCCATTAACTACTTATAACTATTGGAACGGGTGTCTCTTCATTAACCTATAGTGCTAAATTATTTCGTTATTTGTGTATTATGTTATGTTTGGTAAACCAAATAAGCTAGCTTATAGCTTATTTAGTTAGTTTATAAGCTTCTTGTATTCAAATAAGCTCCGTTTGGTAGGACGGACTTATTTAAAAAGCTCGAGCTTATTTGATAAGCTTGTTTAGGTAGCTTTTCAAATAAGTTAGTTGAATTTTTTATTTCAGCTAGCTTATCAGCTAATTTTACCAAACACTTTTATCATATAAACTAGCTTTTCAGCTATAAGTCATAAACTATAAGCTCGAAAATTACATATAAGCTATAAGCTAGCTTATCAGTTATCAGCTAGCTTATCAGCTAGTTTTACCAAACATAGCCTTAGTATTTTTTTTTCCAAATAATATTAAAAGATAATTTAATTCTTATTAT